TCTCTCTCTCTCTCTCTCTCTCTCTCTCTCTCTCTCTCTCTCTCCTTCCTTCCTTCCTCATACTGGGGTCAAACTCAGGACCTTGCACTTGCCAGGCAAGCGCAGTGCCACTGAGCTAAATCCTTGGCCCTTGTTCTAGTTTCTTGAGGTGCATTATTAGGGTATTTATTTGAGCTCTTTATTTTTCTCTAATGTGAGCACTGACTGTCCCTCAGGGGACAGCTTTCATTGTGTCCCATAGGTTCTGATAAGTTCATTTGGCATTATCATTTATTTCTAGGAATTGCTTAATTTCTTCCTTGATTTTTTTCCCTATGCACTATCGAGTGTTCTGGAGTGTATTAATGTCCAAGTGTTTGTAATATTTATGTGGTTTCTTTTGCAGTTAATTTCTAGTTACAGTATGCTGTGATCTGATAGTTTACATAGGATGATTTTGATTCTTTTATATTTATTTAAGCAATCTTTATGAACTAGTGTGTGTTCTATTTTGGAGATAATTCCATGTGCTGCTCAGAAGAATATGCATTCATAGTAGTAGCGTAGCTAATTATCTACATTCTGTAGATAACTAAGCCCATTTGTTCAAAGATGTGGTTCTTCATTAATTTTTTGTTTGGTTAATCTACTTGTGAGAGTGAAGTATTGAGGTCAGCCATTATGATTGTATTGGTGTTTATTTTATCTTTTGTGTCCAGCAGTGTTTGATTTTATCAAGTTAGGTGCACCAGTATTTGGTGCATATATTTATAATTGTTAATCTTTTCCTGTTAGACTCTTTTTTTTGGTGTCGGAGAGCGAACTCGGGTCCTTGCGCATGCGCAGAAGGTGGCGAAACCACTGCGCTAAATCCCCGGCCCTAGATTCTTTACTTTAATTAATTTGTAGTGACTTTCTTTGCCTCTTCTTATTATTCTTAACCTGAAGTTTACTTTATCTGTGAAAAAAATGCTACCCTTGCTTACTTTCTGGGTCCTGGTGTATGGAATATTAGTTTTCATCCTTTGAATTTTAGTCCATTTTTATTAGATGAATTTTCTTAAGGCAAAAGACTGCTGGGTTTTGTTTTTTAATCCAGTCTGTTAATCTGTGTCTCTTTATTGGGGAACAGACGTCATTTACACTGGCAGTTATTACTGATAATGTCCCATTGTCATTTTCTTTTTCTGTTGTTGCTTCCTTTATTTTTCCCTTTTTTATGTACTTATTTTTTTGTGTATTAATTCTATTTAATTTTTTGG